TTGTGAATTGTGCAAATGTATTGATCAATGTTAAAGATATACCAACAGATTCTGTAATAGAGATATCTGGTGATAATCCAGTTACTATGATTATTCCAAGTAGAAATTATACAGCACCCATTGGTTTAAAAATTGATGGAGCCAAAAAATTCGTCAATTCTGCTATGGGATGTAAAATTTATTCGTTGAAGGTTTCATTGGACAAACCTTACTACAGAGGAAATACTTCTGATAGAACAGATATTCAAAACATTTACTTTGGATATCGTGCTAGATACAGAACATTGGATAATAGATGTATCGGTGTTGGTTCTGGTTGGGGTTTGTATCCTTATGCTGACGGTGCTGAAAGTGTTTGCAATTGTTCAATGATATTCACAGTGTTTCATACAGGATTTGGATTCTTGGATAATTCAACAATTCCTGATCAATATTATCCTTTGACAATTAGTATCACACCAAGTTTCAAGAATTACAAAAATGACCCATATTACTATTGCACTGTTGACTCAATTTCTTGTTCGAAACAATACTGCACATGCACAAAAGAAGGAGGCAATAATTTTGACGAAAGTCATTTTTATTTCCCTCCAGTGAATCCATCAACTAGGAGTGTTTCATTAGCTTTTACGATTTCACAAAATATTTATTTAACTATAGTTTTATTGATTTTCTTCATTTTGTATTTAGAATAAATCATGAATTCTTTTCCTTGCTTGTTTGAGAAGAATTAAAGTTTAAATCCAGATAAAAAGTGGGATGATTTCAAAAGCCAAACATAATATTGGATTCGTTATAAAAATTTCGCGGTCTACAGGATTCGAACCTGTGCGGGTCGCCCCAATTGATTTCTAGTCAATCACCTTAACCACTCGGTCAAGACCGCTTCATATATTTGAAATCTTGTTTCCTGATATATTTATTATTAGTTGTGTTTTTGCGATTTATTTTGGACTGTAATTCGTTGTAAGCGAAGAAGAATAGACGAAGTTGATTTAGAAAATGAATTGAAATACTTTTAAATGATGCAATTTAAAAACTATCCATATCTGAAAAAGAACTGTCTGAGGGAATGTATCGAGATTGATGACTTTCTGGGATGTGATACATTCCATCATCATACTCTTCATCCTCACTGTAAGGATAGTTTTCATCATCATCACCAAATGAGGAGCCATCTTGGTAGAAATGACTATGTGGTACATGTTTCTTCTGTTCCAATTCCATAATTTTCAGTGAATATTCATAACTAGAGGGAAGATCAAAATCAATGGATGGGGATAGATGGCTGATTCGATTGGTTGTGTTTTGCTTATTGGATTTGGGCTTTGGATTTGTTGTGGACACTGAGTATGT